TAGGTTTATAAATCGGGAAATTCAATACAATTCACATCATTGTATTCAGTAAGGGTTACTCTTTCTACCTTAAAACATAAATAACCCCCTGAAACCGACGAGTAATCGCGTTGTTGGAAAATGGGGTATTTTTGCTTTGTCGTCACCAATCGCGGGAAAAGAGGATTCTACTAAAATATGGCGCGAATGCGACGTAAACAAGCCAGCTTTTCTAACGTATTGTTCCTGATTGTACCATTTGTTTTTATAGAATTCGACTTATATGAGTTTGTTGGAACAAAAAATGGAATCTATTAATGATGGCGATGTTGTCAAATTACGCCAGGAAAATATCTCGTGTGGAAAGTTCATCATTCAGTCGAGCTTTGTTTCAAAGTCCTGGCACATCAGCAAAGGTATAATAAAAACAATTATGGTAGACGAAATTGTACTTAAAACTTTGTTATTCTTTGCTATTCTATTCGTATAAATTGTCTTTGTATATTCAGTGTAAAACTGGAGTAAATACGAGCAACAAAATTGCTAAAAATCTGATTTCAACGCATGTTAAGTAGAAATGTTGACACATGTTGCCCTCGTGATTTACTTGATTTGTATTGACTTATATGTCAACATTTCCACTTAACATCCGTTGAAATCAGATTTTGTTGCAAGTTGCAGCAATTTTGTTGACCGTATTACTCCACCTTAATACCTCATTACTATGTAACATTATTCTGCAGTGTAACATTATGATTTATGTATGATTATTCATATGTCATCTGTGACTCAATTTCCATATCTTAGTAAATGACATACTTTTTTGTAGTCCCCTTGAGGAAAATAAAGCTTTGATCGAGTTCATATATATTGCCAAAACAGATCCATGGATCTGGAAAAATTTTGTCCATAATAAAATAAAATAAAATGACAACAATTTACATTATCCTAGTAATCTATGTCACTGTTATAATTGTAGGGATCCATAATAAAATAAATATGTAGGGATCCATAATAAAATAAAATAACGGCAATTTACAATATACTTGGACTTGGATTTGGATTTATTAAAATAATTACATCGCAGCTTTACAGCTGAATTGCGTAATTTACAATTGGCTAATTGGACAAGAAAATTTGATATATTACATGAATAATTTACTATTTTAATAGTGATTACAGTAAAAAGTTTAAAAGGTTAATTTACTCTAATAATTGTATGTGTATTTTACTCTAACAATTGTATGACTATTATAATAGTAATTACGATAAAAAGTTTAAAAGGCTAATTTACACTAATAATTGTATGCGAACATCCAATAAATAAACATCAAGTTTCATGCGCTACACATAGAGAAGATAAAGGAATTCATTGTTCTATTAGTCATGATTTGTGGGGGGTTGAAGTTCCTTTGGTTTCTCAGGTTATAATTCGTGTTATATCTTGCTGGTAATAAGCTATTAAGTTTGTGATCAGGATTAAGAATAATAGACTTAAAAAGTTTGTCACATAAATATTCATGATGATCCTTCATGGGCTTAATATCTAATCGTTCCAAACCTGTTAGATAGTCAACATCCGGCATAATAATTGATATAGCTCTTTTCTCAAGACGCACTAACTCACGCTTCAGATATTGGGGGAGACAATGGTAAAAGGCAGGAATCGCGTAATCCACAACTGACCTGACACACGACGTATAGAACAGCGCTAAATCTTGTGGTGGAACTCTCGCCCGTTTTAATTGCACTAAAAAGTACAATCTTTGTTCACTTTCTTTATAACCTCGTCCACATAAGAATTCCAAGTAAGGTTGTCCTTGACAGTGAGTCCTAGCAGCTTTACTGTTTTAACAACTTCCAATTCTTTCCCATTAATGGTTAATGGATCAAAGATTGCTGGTTGATTCGCGAACGATATTCTCAATTCCTTACACTTGTCTTGATTTAATTGTACTCTATTATTACTAGACCACGTAACCACTTGATCAACTATATTTTGGGCATCACTAGAACCCCCCTTACTGACAATTTCGGACGCTGTCGTATCGTCTACGTATTTCCAGGTATGTGCATCATCAATGATTAAATCATTTATCATAAGAGCAAACAGCCAGGGGCCTAGCTTAGTTCCCTGTGGTACTCCTGCAGGGACTGATCCCCACTCCGAAAAACAATCATCAGCTAATTTAACTCTTTGAAATCTATCGGTGAGAAAATCAATTATCCAGTTTATAACACTTGGAGGTAATTCCAATCTGCTTAGTTTATCAATCAGTATACCGTGGTCGATTAAGTCGAATGCTTTACGACAGTCAAACAGAATTGTCCTAATGGTTGAGCCATTTCCATCTGTTCCTAAAAACCAGTGATGTAACATATTAATTAGCGCGATAGTAGTAGATGAATTCGGGATTGTTCCGTACTGGTTTGGGTCGATAACTTTTAAAATGGCACGCTTCACGTAATCCTCAACCACAAACCCCTCCGCAACCTTGGATACGCTAGGGGTTAACGAGATTGGTCTTAAATCTTTCTTTAGGTCCTTAACCGGCTTCTTCTTGGGCAGTGGTGATACATCTGCCATCTTCCAGCATGCAGGCAATTGCTGTTCACGATATGAAGTATTAATAATATTCATAATTGGGAGAGCAACAATTCTGGAATAATCTCTTAAGAGCCAATTTGGAATGTTATCAGGACCAGACGCTTTTCCAGGGTTGAGTTTTGCTAGGGCCTTCTCTACGCGCATTTCTGTCACAGTTAGGACCTCCGTTGATTCTTCCAAGTCGCGGCATGGTGGTGGAACGACCAATCTGTACTCCTCAATGGGCTCCAAGAAAGCTGTATTAATGATATTTGCCTGTTCACGTTGTGGAAAGTTAGAGAACTCGTCGATTTTTATTTGACTGGACAGATCGATGTTCTTTTCTTTCATACCACTTAAACGTTTCGCTTCACTCCACCATCTCTTAGGGTTCTCACCCTTAAGATTTTGTATGTTTGATTCATAATACTTCCCTCTGCATGCCTTTCTTTCACGGTTGACTAAATTCCTGTAGTATTTAAAATCAAGGGAACCGTTTCCATTCTTATTAAACGCCTTTTGTCTTTTGGCAATCAGGGTCTTTAATTTCTTATTCATCCATGGTGCATCAACAGTGCTGACCTCCATACGTTTTTCGTGCATTAATAAGTTAAGTCCATTGTGTATTACTTCATGGAAAACCAACCACTTTTCCTCACTACTATCCAAGGGAGCAAACAACTGTGACCAATCAAAGAGGCTCAAATATCTTCCCATTTCAGCTTTACGCCTTGCCCGATAGTCCCGTCTTATTATTACTTTCTTATTGTTGCCTTTTGGCGCTATGACATTAGGCTCTGCGACAATAGTGTTATGGTCAGACAGACCGAAAGGTGCATATGCTTTCGGTGCACAAAAGTACATATGCATATTCGTTAATTTGGCATGAGGTCTAAAATAGCATCTTTCCTCGTGTATACTTTTACTATTTGCTTAAGGCGAAAGTGATTTAATAAATGATTAATATTTAGGCGGTTAAAATCACCAGTAACTAATATACCACAGTTGGGGCATTTGGATTCGGCCATTGTGAGTGAGTTGAACAGATGGTCACAGATCGAACTTGCATTACCGCTGGGTGGGTGGTACACCAATCCTGCAATTATACATGAGAAACCCCGAGGTAAGCGGTCAGGTCGTAAGTAAAGCCACAAGATCTCGTGATTCTCACAGCAATTTAATTCGTCCATTCGTCTGTAATTACATTTTTCAGTTCGAATATAAGCACATACACCACCATGATCATCATTTTTCCTATCTCTGCGAAATACAGTGTAACCAGGAATGTTAATTATGCTTTCTGCAATTGACTCTTTTAATTAACCATGTCTCGGTAATAAACGCAAAATTAATGTCATTCCGAATTAGGAATTCTTGTACTTCGTCTAGTTTTGGAACTAAGGACCTCACATTAGTCACCATCACCTTGGGAACATGAGATGGATTATTTTGTGACAAGGCGTTAACACCTGTGTTATGCAGATTCTTATTGGGATAGATTTTAATGAGATTATTGTTATTCCGAGTACGATTTCGTTTATGAAATATTCTCATTGTCTCATCATTAGATAGTAGACATGAAGGGACAAAATATAATTTACTCGGACAGGACAATGGAGTTGTGATTTGGAAGTTGTGTGGGACATGGGAGGTGGGTAATTTATCTACATTCCCCAACGTGGTGCGTGGATAGGTGGGTGGATTGGGACTTGTAATAATGGTTGGGGAGGGTATGTTGTACGTAGCATCCTCAAGGGAAGTGGTTTGGGGTTGGACGGGGCACTCTGGAACCCACCAAAAAAAGCAGGTGGAACAGTTTGGTCGTGAATAGGTGTAGCGGGGTAGAATATTGTGAGAAAAATCACAGAATGAGCCTTTTTTACACCTTCCTTTCTTTTGTAAGAAGGGGCACGGTACCAGGTGTTTTGGTGGTAGGGGATTATTATATATAGGTTTGCCGTTGTGGAAAAAATCACATAAATTGCCTTTGGCGCACCAGCCACGTTTACGAAGAAACGGGCACGGGATGGTATGCGTTGGAGGTTGTTGTATTATGGTGTTTATTCTGTGGTTTGACGGCTGTGATCTCGTCTTGTTTATTGCATGTAGCATTGTTCTCTTTATGTGTTGATAAACTTTGTTGATGAATCTGAGGGGTTTTGAGGTTAATTGGACTTGCATTGTTTATAGTTGTATTTTTGGAATAATTATCAGGAACGCTAACGATTTTTAGCAAGGCCGTTAATGTTTGGAAACTTGTCCAAAGTGAGATTTTTATTGTTTGCAGCAGTTCTGATGATGGTCTCGGTCGAATTATTTAAATGTTGTTCATTAGCATTATCGCTAATAGATTCGCAAACTGAGTTTACTTCGTTAGTCGAATTACATGCATAGTTCTTCAGATCATTAATAGATGCCGGATTTATCATTTCAAGCGATAACAATTTTGACTTAATAAGTGTATTGTCTTCGTACAGTTTATTTATTACTTCGTCCTGTTTACGAATTGTAGCCTCTAAGGGCCTGTTCATATGGGCAGAAGTTATCCCGGTCAGCGAGAAAACCTTTGGACAAGTTTACGAGCGAGATCTCGCCTTGTTACGAAAATAATATGAAAAGTTACATTGCGTTCATATGAGACGAAACGTTTTCCCGTGTACCGAGATC